AAGGATAGGAAACCTCAACCATCCCAATCTTCTACCTCTACTTGCTTTTTATTATACAAGAGAAGAGAAACTTTTGATCTCATCCTTTGTTCATAATGGTTGCTTGGCTAGTCATCTTCATGGTATAATATATTGTACTATATCATTTATTACATTACATATATGTGTACACATGCATGCATGCATGCTTAACTATTAATCCATTTTATTTGCTTGTAGGTAATATATGTGTACACATGCATGCATGCTTAATTATTAATCCATTTTATTACATCACACGTGTGCATGCATGCTTAATTATTAATCCATTTTATTACATCACACGTGTGCATGCATGCTTAATTATTAATCCATTTTATTTGCTTGTAGGTAATCACAACTCACAAAAGCCAGGACTTAATTGGACGACCCGTTTGAAAATTGTGAAAGGTGTATCTAGGGGTTTGTCTTATCTATATAGTGCACTTCCAAGTGTGATTGTTCCTCATGGTCATCTAAAATCTTCTAATGTACTTTTAGATGAATCCTTTGAACCCCTAATTACTGATTATGCCTTGAGTCCATTGATCAATCTTGATCATGCCCAACAAATCATAATGCCTTATAAGTCCCCAGAGTATGCTCAACTTGGTCGCATTACAAAGAAAACAGACGTATGGAGTTTTGGGATTCTAATATTGGAGATCCTAACAGGTAAATTCCCAGAGAACTATATTACACCCAAGTATAATAGTGATTCTGATTTAGCAAGTTGGGTGAATATGATGATTACCGAGAAGCGCACAAGTGATATATTTGACATAGATATGGGAGCAGTCGGAAATAGTAAATCTGAATTGCTCAAACTCTTAAAGATTGGACTTAGTTGTTGTGAGGAGAATGTAGAGAGAAGGTTGGACATCAAAGAGGCTCTTGTGCAGATACAAGACTTGAGAGAGGGTGGGATAATTGATCATATTGGACTTGGAGAATACTCTTCCTCCCTTATCACAAATGAAAGGGATGCTTACAGAGCTGTGTGATTCATCTATCATTTCTTGTGCTTTCACCATTAACATTAATATATAATCATTTAATTAGTTTATGTCTCTGTCTTTTTCTTCTTAATATATAGCCTAGGTATTTGCAGTAAATTCTCTAACTCATTCTATTACTTTTTGTTACTTAGGTTTAGAACATCAAACTATCTCGTTCTTGTATCAATTATTTTTCAATTAGAATTTTAGTATGTGTCATTTCTATAAATACTTGCATGTATTCATAAATATATTGTTAACTTATAATTAAAAAAAGCCAGATATAAACAAAATATTTATAAATTGAATGATGCAAAAGTGCAAAACGTACTAAACGACTAACAAAACAAAACAAATAAAAAGTAACATAAATTAAGTATAACCACATATACCAATTGTTAATAAAAAATTAAACACTCAATTTATAAAACACATTCAATTCTTTTGTAAGTATAACTCATTTAGTACTGCAACAACATTGATATACATAAGCTATAGTTTGAATTCAAAAATCTCATTTATCAACACTCAAATGTATGTGAATCTAGAGAGTAAACTCTTTAAAAACTAAAGGTGTGTATTTAAGTAATTTCTTAAGTCACCCCTATGTAATGAAAAACACTTCTGAAATTTCCAAAATATTATTCGAATATGTATATTCGAACGCACCAATTTATATGTTTCGGATAAGCACATACGGAAACACCATACATATATGAAAACAGAGGTTTCGAATATGCATATCCTAAATTTTGGTTGTTTGTACCATTGTTGTTTAAAACATCATCATTACCACTACCGAATGAATGAGCAAAAGAGGGAAACATAAAATGATACGATTTGAACGAAAAATGAAACGAACTTAACTATTAGATTAAATGTTCAAAAAAAGAGAAATATAATACATCAGTTGTTCAGAAAGTGCATAATGTCAAAATATGATTGTTGTACCCCAAAAATTTTCCTCCCATTTTCTTCAACATACCTCCTCATACTCCTAGGATTTTCAATTGCTCAAGGCTACTCAATGTTTGATCAGACAAATTCTCCTTCTAAGCAGTTGACCTACAATTAGGGTTTCACTTTTCTCAAGGAAGTTTGGGTTTATAATGCCTAAAATGGATTTCATGGTTTCTCACATGTCTCAAGGAATGCTCATGTCAAGTTTCAAGTCTTGCATCACAAGTTTGCTCAGTCAATGACTCAGATGATTGAAAATCAACTGTATTGGACAAAAAGTCAAATGTGGTCAACATATGGTCAAACTTCAAGATTTTTAGTCAACATCAATATTTTGAAGTCATATTCATCATTTGATCAAGGGTTGATCATGATTCATCAATAAAACTCTCAAATCATCAAAAGTCAAAAGGTGCCAAATTAGGGTTTTCTTAAGGAGAAGTCAACTGAACTTTGACCAAGCACAACTTTCACATGATTCGTCATATTTTTCTCAACCAAAACTCATTTCGAAGGAAATTTAATTTTCTACAACTTTGTCTCTCTAAGCTTAAGTTCAAAAAATGCTTCATTTGAGAGATATGGACCAATACATTATAGGTCATTTCAAAAGTCAACAAAAAGACACCTTTTTTTCAAGGCAACTTACGTCAAGATAAAGTCTTCAAATAAAAAAATGGTCAACTTATATATTTAGAGGACATCTTTAGCTTTCCAAAAAGTCCAAGATCACTATCAAATGACAAAAATTGAGAGAGCTATGATTGGTGCAAGTTGGGAAATTTCTAGCAAAAGCATGAAACCAAAAGTGTCCAAACTTGGTTTTTTTAGGCTAGTGGACTGATGTTTTAAAATCCAAACGTGTTATACACTTCATAGTGAACCTCAATACTTATTCATACACCCCCTTTGGTTTATTATATATTTTTATTATTTTAAAAGTGAAAATAAAAAAGGATAAAATAAGAGCTTCTTACACAAGTCCAAGCCCATGTTATTTAACCTAAATTCAAGCTATATAATCTCACTCATTCAGACATCAAAAGCCACAGAAACCTTGCACAAAAAGGCCTCTCCAAAATCTCAAAATTTCCAAGAACTATGGCAACTTGTAAACCCTAATTACAGCCACATTCAGGAAAAACTAGCCTCTCCATTCTCTTCCAGGAGTACTATAGGGTAAGAATGGATCATCTTCGATGATCCAAAGGGCTCAAAACACCATTCTAATCATCACCGACTTCCATCATTGCATGAATCTTGTATTTATTTTTTCTTTTCATTTTAATATCTACTAACCTTACTAATGTGTTTATGAAGTATCAACATGCATGAAAAGTCCATCGTATGAGTCCCATGATGGCTGGACCATGAACTGCCATGTTCAAACCGATCCATGTTATTTTCTTTATACCGCTCAAACTAGCACAAATAAGCCAAAAACGATGGTCCCATTGAACTTGTAGGGCTTGATTTAGGGGGTAGGGTCCCTTTGGATCTTTGATGTTTGTTGGTTTTGCAGGTTAAAGAAAAAGACCCACCAGAGAAGACGACCAAAGCTAGGTGTCATACCCCAATCTTTGACCTAAGATCCCATTTTCATTTTTCATTTTATACAAAAGTCAAGGTCACGAAATACAGTCGATTTTAACCTCTTACCTTCGAGCATTGACTATGCGGAGATTGTCAAGTATTTTAAACATTCTTAGCCTATGTATCATTAACTTATAATCGCATACAAAGGTGTATGTTCGTGTTTTCTTTTATGTGCAAAGACAGGTCTGAATCAAGAGCATCAGGCGTTGCGCCTCAATTAGAGTTTTGAGTCTCCTAAGCCAGAAGTATGATTGATCGTGGATTATCGAAGACTAATTCATCAAGGTAGAACCTCTAATCTTAGAGCATGGAGTCTTAAACATTGTTCAATCTCAGTTTGATCAAAGATGTCTTAAGGAACTTCAGAGGATCGTGTGTTTATTTTCACGCCTTGTTCGACAAGTGGTCTCAAGCTTCTCCAAAAATTCCTCAAAGCACTGGTAAAATTTCATCATCACTAGTTCACATGTGCATTAATATGCCTTGGAGCGCAAGAAAAGATCAGGCTATGTGAGATGATTCAAATCACTTCTCTCTAAAGAACAACAAAACCCTCTTCATATCTTCCTCCAAACCAACCATGTGTTGGAATCTTCGCGTAGAGAATCCATTAACTGGATTCTCAAAGTGAATGCTCATTATTCATTCTCACCTCTCACAATTGTTCTTGCTGTCAACTACCTCGATAGGTTTCTGTTCAGCTTCCGATTTCAGAATGAGAAGCCATGGATGACTCAACTTTCTGCTATTGCTTGTCTCTCTCTTGCTGCTAAAGTTGAAGAAACCCAAGTTCCTCTTTTACTAGATCTTCAAGTTGAGGAAATTATATACTTGTTTGAAGCAAATATGATAAAAAAAGGGAGACTTTGGTTCTTTCAACACTTGGATGGAAGATGAATCCAGCAACACCTCTTTCTTTTATTGATTATATGATAAGAAGACTTGGATTGAAAGATCTTCTTTGTTAGGAGTTTCTTCATATATGTGAAGATGTTGTTCTTTTTGTCATTAGGCCAGATTCAAAGTTTATGAGTTATTTACCTTTTGTTTTGGCAACTACTGCAATGATTCATGTTTTCAACAGTGTTGAGCCTAGTTTATGAGATGAATACAAAAACCAACTTCTAAATATTCTTGGAATCAACAAAGAAAAAGTGGATGAATGTGGGAAGCTGATGATGAAACTTTAGTCAGAATATGTAGAAGAGAATGAGAATCAATTGAACAAACATAAGAGTTTTGAGTAGTTTGGTGAACTGCAATCACTTTGCCATTCATCATCTCACGTCTCTGTTTTCTTCTGCCATCATAATTCATTTCAACTCTCCACGCTTCTATCGCCACATTTCCAATGTCTTTGTTTCCTTACAATCTCAACAACAAGGGATTGAAACCCCTCTAAAGATTGGTTTTTTGGGCCTCAGAATCATGGGTTCTCCAATGGCACAAAATCTCATCAAAGCTGGTGTTGATAGGACAGTTTGGAATAGGACTAAGAGCAAGTGTGATCCTCTAATCAGCTTGGGAGCCAAATATAAATCATCTCCCGAACAAGTAGCCACATCTTGTGATCTCACATTTGCTATGCTTGCTGATCCTCAAAGTGCCATGGATGTTGCTTGTGGCAAGTATGAAGTAGCAAATGGAATGGGTCCTGGAAAAGGATATGTGGATGTATCAATTGTTGATGCGGACACATCTAGATTGATTAACGGGCACATAAAATCCACTAGAGCTCTATTTTTGGAGGCTCCAGTTTTAGGTTCCAAAAACCCAATAGAAGATGGACAATTGATATTTCTTACACCAGGGGACATAAATCTTTACGAAAATTCTGCTCCTCTTTTGGACATCACAGGGAAATCTAAAATTTACCTTGGTGATGTTGGAAATGGAGCTGCAATGAAGCTCGTTGTAAATATGATTCATGGGTTATAACATCAACAATTTCAGTATCATCTTCACCAGAGCCTTTGTCAAAGAGGATCAAAATTAAAAAAAGTTTCTATTAAATTTTTCATAGTTAATTTAATTTCAACTTTCCCATTTCATAATGCAAAAAGAAAAAAGAAGAAGAAAAGACCCAATGTAATTTCTATCAAGTCCATTAAATTACAATTTCATTACATCATTCAAATCAAATTCATCCATTTAGTTACAATTTTTTAAAGAATTACAAAAATAAATCTTAAGTCATATTCCAATCTTGGTATAAGTCTTCATGTCATTTGCTCAAATCCTCTTTCACACCAAATTGTCCCTAAATCTGCAAGGTCATGCTGCTGCAATTTTGCCACTTTCTTACTGCAATTCTGCCCACAAACCTGCCAAAATATGCTGTAAAACCAGCCTACAGATTAGTCCAAACAGCAGCCCTGCAAACCTAACATGCTAAACATTGCATCAAAAGGGAAGGATAGAAATTTACAAAAGAAAGTAGTGAAACAGGACACACAAATCTGTTCAAACTCAATAATTTTTCCTGAGGGAATTAGATATAGAAATCTCACACAATAATCAGCAAGAAATACACACAGAAAAACTCCGAGAAGACAATAAAGAAAAAATTGTTTAATCCATGAGGGAAGGAAGTAGGGAAAATAATACAACAACACAAATTTTGCAACCAGTATGCATGTTCATCTATAAAACCATAACAATGCACTGACAACAACAAGTTTTTGCGGATCTTAGAAGAAAAAAAGGGAAATTCAAGTTTACCCGTCGAAGTTTTCCAGAAATGAGAACTCGTCGGACTAGCTCTGACCGTGTGAGTCTTTCTTCTTTATGTACCACTCTATTTATTACCTTGTCTTGTTGTTGTCTGGCGCTCAAATTTTTTGTTGTTGACTATTGCTATAATTATTACTTATCTTGTTGTTGCTGTAACTGTGAAACTATGAAATTGAAAATATAAGCATATCATAAATCACTAGTTGCCAGCTCTTTTGAATAAGACAAAATGGAAAAATCAGAAATATACGGAAGTTATGAAGCCTAAGTAGAGAAGTGTTTAGTTTGGTGCTCACACACAATGGCTGACTTCCTCGCTATAAACCCACTTTCCATTTCAGCTGCAGACTCTCCACGCTTCCCCTTTCTCAATTCACACCCATCTCCTTCAAAGAGAACCCATCATGTTCCTGCAGCTTCCTCAAACTGAAACAATATACTCTCTCCAAACTGACCGCATCTTCCTCCGCCGCAACCCTCACTCCTCCCATCCCTAATTTCATCCATGTATCCATTCCCCAGCATGCACTTGAATGCAACCACCCACTCAATTCTACTAGTATCGCTAAATTGGGACTCAACAATCTCACCGTGGCAACTGTTTCTGATGTTAATTTTCAATCTCGCTTCCTTATTCGACTTTTAGATCTCGATTCTGATTCTGTTGGAAATGTGTCTAACAGTTTGTTTTCACATGAGATTGTAGAGGCCCGTGATTTATTTGCTGATAAAAATCTGAACTTGATTCATACTAATAATAATAACTAACCTATTTGTCCCTTCCCAATAAACAATACAGCAACACTACAATCTCAACTCTCTCACTTCCTTCATCGATATCCCTCTCCACGTCCTCAACACCGTTGACGCTTGAATCGCAGCCTCCACCATCGACTATATCTCCTCTTCCAATGACCATGATGCTTCCATCGATTGCATGAATGAATCCTACAGGAACTGTTTATCACTATACAGTGTAGAAGTCAACGAAGATCGGTCCAGTCTTGAAACAAGTGAATCTTCTAGAGGACTTTATGATATCATAACCATTGACTATGTTTTGCCGATTGAATCAGCTAGGGCGTGGTTTATTCAAATTGTGACGGATCATTTTATCGATGATAGTCTGATTGAGGTGTTTGATTCTGATGCTGATTATGGTGATCAAGACAAGATGAACAGAGGTTAGAGAAAAATGGAAAGAGGGAGATTTGTGAGAAAGTTCTGTTTGATTTTGTTTTTATGGTGAATATTGGATGCAGAGTTTTAATCCGTGAGAGAGAGAGGATTTGTTTCATTTTCTTTCAACTTTTCTTTTTAAACTGTTTTTGTTGGAAACAATAATAAGAATTAAGACATTTCCCTTTCCAATTCAAAGCAAATCCGACGTCTTTCCTTGTTTCTTTAGGGTTTCCATAACACTCTCTTTTCCTCTTCCAAACCGGGCCCGCTTCAGGCCTATTTTTTGTTTAAATTTCATTATCAGATTTTTCTCATAATTTGGGCCTGCCAACATCCTTAGCCCAGCGGAAATATTTCCTATCAACACAACCCCTATTTTCTATTTTAAACATTACTCCTTATTTTTTTATTTGATTTAGTTTTAATCTACTAACTTCAAAATTTTGTTTTAGATTTAATCTAGTAATTTTAAAAATATATAGTTGATTAGATTCAATATTAGGTTGATTAGTTTAATCATATAAAATTACAAAAATTTCTTTTTTTAGAACTAATTAGTTTAAATTTAGAATTATTGTAGTAATTTTAATTTTAATTTAGTTAGTAAACTTTAAAATTTTAATTTAGTTTAGATTTAACTTAATAATTTTAGAATTTTAATTTAGTTTACATTTGAATTAGTTTAGACATGATTTAGTAATTTTAGAGATTTAATAACTTTAGAATTTCAATTCAAATTTAATTTACTAATCTTAGAATTTTCAATTTGGTTTAGACCTAATTTAATAATCTTAGAACTATTTTTATAACCTTAGAATTTGTAATTCAATTTATTATTTTAGCAAGTGATCTTAAATTTTTAATTTAGTTCAAATAACTTCTTTAGGTAATTAATTACACTCTCTTTTATTTGTGTTTAAATATCTCTGTCATTTTAATTTCTCGGTGCCTTTTGATCGTTAATTTGTTTCGTTAGATTTATTTTCTTGTGAATTTTCGATTGCTTATATTTTGATGCCCATTTTATTTTGCTCGCTCGATTTATTCCAAGGGAAAGAATGAACTAGTCGACTTAATGTCGTCTAATATTTGTTACGATTGAGCGAACCCATTCATTCATTTTTTGTTTTACTATTTTACTAAACTTAAGTTAATTTTCCTAAAAGACTCAATTTTAAAACTCACACCTTTTAAAGTCAAAACTTAGACATTAGGTCGTCGCATCTTCAAAATCTCGTCCACACCCATTTTGACCAAATAAACCATTTTTAATCAAACAAACAATTTTAAAAACAGATATTTTAAAAGGTTCCTGCGGAGTACCGCAGATGCATTGGGTGTTAATACCATCCCATTACATAACCAACCCCCGAACTCTCGATCTCTTTCAAAAACGCATTGTATTTTCATTACTTTTAAGTATTATTTTATATTGCATATTTAAGGGTTTTATTTCACTATTTTCCCTTTTCCCTTAGAAATAATAAAGCGCGGTGGCAACTCTTTCTTTTGCGAGTCAAGTTAATTAATAGCTTGATCTTCGATTTTCACCGCTACAGAATTAGTGGCTCTGTTAGGGATAGAATTTTCTAAGTGGGTTAAACCTAATCTGTTATATCTGTTTTTGTTATTATTTGTTGTTTGTTTATATGTGTTAATTTGTGGTTTCTTTGGATGTTGATTACAATGGACAAGTCCTATACTCAGACTAAGTACACTTAAGATAGGACGGACGGTATAGTCATGTTAACTTTGAGGGAGTAATCCAGAAAAATGAGGCATGGGATCCCCTAATTAGTGGAGGCCCATTTGAATGTAGTATTTGTTTACCGAGTAATCGAGAAGACATTGCTGGTCTCGACCTAGGAGATAGAGAAGCTGAGAGCCATAGAACCCCTAACCCATCGTTGCCTTTTTAGATGTAGTGTGGAGACTATGACGGAGTAATCCGGAAGTAGTTGTCATGCGATGCTGCACTCAGACGAGTTTTTCCTACGAATATTACTAATTACCGAGTAATTGGGACGTTGGTAATATCTGAAGGAAATATGTAGACTCTATGAACCTTTTAGAACCTTGTTGGGCAGGTGATAAACCCTTAGTACATACCTTACGGGTTGATTCTCACTCTTTGACTTCGTGCTCGTGACGTTAAATCTTTGGACCTTATATGTGTTTGTTGCATAGCCATACATTCATACATCTATAAACACTATGACATGCTTGTGACATACTTGGTCATTTCATTTCTAGGGAACTTTATCTTTGATTCTTGTATCAAGCTCATTACTCATAAATGGACACTAGAAAGAGGAGCACAACCAGTTACAATGTTTAAGCGCCAGTTCAAGTTGAGGTCATGAAGTTTGAAGATAAAGATCAGCAAGAATATTTTTACGGCCTTCAGCTTCAAGAAGAGATTGATCATCTGGAAAGCATTACCAATAGAAAGGATGTACTCATCAAGGAGCTAATTTAGATACTAAAGATCGAAGTAACGAAGGAGATCTTTAAAAGGGCCCAAGAGTGGAGTAATGAGAATCTAGTTTGGAGTACCCTTGCTGATGAAGAGTTTGGGGAAACATCTTAGGGTTTATGATTTGTATTTTTGATGATCATCATCAGGTCTGTTGATTGGTGTGATACGGTGGGAGAACTGACTTTTTGTTTTGCGTTTGTATTTGCAAATGTTGAGGTTAGTAAGAGTCGCCACCGACTTTTCTTTTATCCAAAAGGAAAGGTGAAAAAGCTTAGGAAAGACCTTTAGAGATGTTTTCTTGAGTTCGGGGGGAAGATTATGGAAAGGGAAGGTGTTAGCACCCTTTTCATCCATGGTTTTCCATGGGCTCTTAGTTACTTGCTAGATCACTTGATTTTGTTTGAATATGCTTGTGGTGTGGGTTTTGAAAGTATTTTGAAAACGTCTTTGTAATGGTTCTCGTCTCTATAAGAACGCGTACAAAGTGTTTGTTTGGAAAATAGTTCAAATATGTGTTTGTGAAATGTGTTTTTGAAAGTGATTTTGAAAAGGTGTCTTTGTAACAGTTATCGTCTCTATAAGAACGCATACAAAGTATTATCTTCGAAAATGTTTCAAAATGAGAATGTTGGTGTATAAAATGTTTTTGTTGTGAGCAAGCGAGCAACTAGGAGCAAATCTACCTACTCAAAAGGTCTTATATGTTCTTTTCCTCCTCCTTTAGATGTTGCTATCTTACCATTGATTTGGTAAGAAGCCCCATCGTTGGATGTGAAGGGACGAGTGTGGGACGTTTGTATAGTCATAGAAGGCAACCTATATGACGCTTTAGCAATGTCGTTTTTAGGTACTAGATCGTTTACTGAAGGCAACATCAAGGGTCATCGAGGGACTACGATTTTTTATCGAGGGTATTTTGCTAAAACGCCCATGTTCGAGGGACATAACTATTTTTACGATAGGCCACAAAGCGGGATTACCCTAAGGGTGCTAGTGTGCGAGGGTGTTTGATTGCATGCATTTAGTCTTGATTAAGGTGATCTATTTTTCGATTTCACACCTTGCCATACACACCCTAATTACTAACAATATATGAAAGCAATAAAAGTGCGGAAAGTAAGGATTCTACGCTATTACAATCATTAAGGGGATGGGGTGTACAAATTTACAAATGGGGGGTTGCAAGAAAATAAATCCTAATTATTTATTACAACCATATTGAAATAATAATGCAAGAAAGAAAAAGGACTTTATTTAGAAAAAATGGTTTTTTGTCTTAATGAATTGAAAAAGAGAAATAAATTAATTAGTAAAAAGAAAATATTTTTATGTCCTTTTTTATATTAATAAAAAGGGTATTAATATTGAAAATGATAAAAAGGGGAAAATAACGAGATATAGGATCAGCGTGCTTCTGGAAGCAAAACAAAAGGGATCAGAAGTTCTGATGCTAGGAGTGTTGTGACTCAGAAAGAAACGTCAGTGGGTATCAGAAGTTCTGGATTGGTACACTCTGAGGTCCTGCAAAAACGTTAGAGGGAAAACACAAAGGCTCTGGGTGGTATTCAGACAATGAGCCAAAAGTCAGAAGTTATGTGTTACGCTAAAACAATGAGTAAACATTAGAAATTCAGTGTATTGTCAGCATGTGAAAAAAATCAGAAATTCTGAGTGTTTAAAACAGCGAGTGGAAGTATCAGAAGTCCAATGTGCTTAACAATAAGGAGAACTCAAAAGTTCTGTGTTGTGCTAAAACAATGAGTGAGCATCAGAAGTTCTATGTGTTAAAACAGTGAGTGGAAACATCATAAGTTCTATGTTATATTTCAACTCTTTTCTCATATTAACCAGTTGTTGTACCCCAAAATTTGCCCTCTCATTTCATCAACATTTCTCATCACAAGACTCTTGGAACTCAAGATCAAGCTAGAGTTTGCTCTGCTCAAGACACCTCCTTGCACTGTTGACCTAAATTAGGGTTTGAGTTTGCACAGGGATATTTTGAACTACAATGCCCAAAGTGACTTTCATACTTCATGTTGGACTCACAAGTTTGTCCATACCATGTCTCAAGCCTTGATTCAAATTTTTGCCCAGTCAATTGGACAGTTGACCTATAAATCAACTGTATTGGGGAAAAAGTCAACTGTGGCCAATTGATAGTCAAACCTCATGAAATTTGACCCACATCAACATTATGAACTCATATGAATCATTTGATCAAGTTTGGATCACAATTCCACAAGAAATTTGATCAGATCACCAAAAGGGCAAAATGGTCATTTTTAGGGTTTTGACTGCACAAAGGCAATTTTTGACTGTTTAACCTAGCCAATGACAAACAAGCTCACACATGGACTCAAGGACTCAATGACATTGTCTTGACCCATTCAACAAGTTCAAAAGATCTCAAATGCATAGGATTGACAAATGAATTTTTCAGTCAACTGATCAGAATTTGACCTTACACTGAAAAGTCAAACTTTGACTTTTTGGTCAAAATCAAGTGCCAAGAGTTATTTTTCATC